TATATATATACACACATACACAGTAAATAGGTCCTTCTATAACTTTTTCTCTATAACCGCCAGCAGTAAATAGTTCCCTCCTTCACTGCCAACAGTAAATCGTTCTCTCTGTAACCGCCAACACTGGATGGTTCTAGCAGTCTCAGTTGCGCACTTGATACTGTCACACAGGTAATTACACAAAATGACGCGGTTTTGATTTGCTGACAGTTCTGTGAGCACCCATGGTGTGTCCGGTAGCCTGGACACTCATTCAAAGACGCCCAATTGTTGACAGGCCGCACCCATGGATGACCAACACCTGTATGTCGGTGTGGCAGGCCCAAAAATTACATTTGTCTATTCTTGATTGTTTTGTTTTGGTCACTGAGTGTCACAGAATCTATATCTGTCTATTCTTGATTGTTTTTGCTAGTGATTGGCCCAGAAACTACATTTGTCTATTTTGATTGATTTTTTTTAGTTAGTAGTGTCCCAGATTCACTGAACATCTGCACTCCAAATCAAAATCCTAACGAAGCTAGTTGTTTTAAAAACCGCAGGATCCAGCTCAGTAACCGACAAAATGTTTGTTTGAACATAATTATAGTGGTTAGTTTCTTTTGTCAGTTTGTCCGGGCACTGTTTCAGTTTGTTAGTTTGACCGTGTAGTGTTTCCGTTTGTTAGTTTGACCGTGCGATGCTTCCTTTAAGCCAGAATGGAATGCACGGTGAAGGTACCAAACTTCTGTCCAATCCACAAATAGTTGACTTCACCAGCAAACATTCCATGCTCCTCGAAGCTGAAGGTCGAAAAGATTTCGTTATCGAAAAAAATATCTACTTCTTTGTCCTTGAAGAACAGTGTCATGTTGAACGTGACTGAAGTTTGGGAGAAAAAGTTAACGACCTGGAGGACGTTGTGCCAGGTTCCATCCACGTTGTAGTTGACAGTGACGTCAGCCTGTTTGGTGTCCGGCTCGATGTTGAGCGGTGTGCGGCCCGTGGGCACTGGGGCGGCGATGTCCTCCAGGGCCAGGCTCATCCGCCCGTCCAGAGTGGCCCTCACCGTCACTAGCTGACCACTGCGCAGACCACCGGGCAGTTCCACGAACCTGTTCACATCGGCGCCGTCTTGACGCAGGCGGACTGGCGTGTAGAACAAACCCGCGGCCTCTAGGTCCACAGACTTAGGTATACACAGCGTGCAGGTCGGATCTTTCTGCCCGTCTGTCTCCAGAAAGAATGCTTCACAGTTGTCGGCGAGCTGACATGTCTTAGCGCATTGACTGACACTGTCGATATCGGGGTACTTCAAGCAGCCCGATGTTATCTGCCCGCTGTTGGCACGGTACGAGGACAAGGAGTCTCCGCACGATTCCACAAGTGCTACACAGCCGAGGAGGCAGTGCAGCCAGAGAAAGGATCGACTCACCGGGAACCCTGAAGAGATGACCTGTAGCATCCACATCACTTCCTTCGCTGTCGGCTCTCTGGGGATGACGTCACAGAACCCTTACTTTGACCAGTACCTGGCAATCGCTGCACTAAGAATGTTCTGTCTGCTGTAGTTGTTGTCTACCACACAGTAGTTGGCGTTGTCTATTACACTGTAGTAGATGTTGTCAACAACACTACAGCCCCACGTCAAAGTCAAGAGAAATGACGCCCAGAGCTTACTAAAAGCAAAGACGTTCACAGCACAGACAGCCCACAGCAAACTGCTCCGACAAAAAAGAGGAAGTTTCTTTTAAAGTTTTTTTCTTCTGAACATTCATCCCGAATGCCATTGTTCTCGTTGTTCCAGCGGCCTGGTGTAAATGCCCTTTTAGTGCCCTTAAACCATTTTGTCCTAAAAAAAAACCCTCGTCCCCCAGGACCCCTTTTAAAACGAACAACCACGCGATGCTTACTTTCTATGGTGTGGTGACGCTTGCTGAATTATTTGTCCAGCCTGCGAGCACGAAGCTCCACAGCGCGATTGAGATCAGGGCTTAACCTTGTCAACAGCGCAGGGCACCAGCGCACGACGGTCGAGCTGCTGGTTTATTCAGAATCTCTGTCAGCATTAAAAAATACCACGCCTCATTTGTTTTCTTTGTACTTCACACAGAAAGAAAATAGTAACCACGATCTTTTCGTTTTCCGCATACATTTTTTATAAAGACATAATGTACTTTCCAAGGATATTACA